AACTATATATTATTTCTTTGTAGGTGGGTGGTATATAAACTAATAGTAAAGATATATAAAATATATGTTTTAAGTTGAGTACAGATGATTCATTAAGAATAAGACACTATTTTCTAAAATAATTCTAATTTTTAGTTTTCCTTTTTAAAAACATTTACAATTACTAAATTAGGAAACTGATGTGTCTGGAAATATTCAAATGAATATAATATACATTGTTTAACAAATTTTATTCAAACTATATAGAAACTGAGTTTCTATGCATGCGGTACTGACGTTTTAGACCAAAAAGCCAGACTGAAATTCAGATGGTCCGGCTCCGATTCCAATTCTGTACAGATTTTTTATTTTCTTTATGTAAAAAAAATCTGGTTTTAGTATTGAAAAAATTGCAAATTTAATTTATTTAACTACAAGTAACTGACATTTACACAAAACAGTAAAGTAGTCAAAGAACTCGAATCTCTCAACACAATTAAAACTGGACCATCTTATGTAGTCAAATTTTTGTCTGGATTTTTGGTCTAAATTAAACCGAAATGGCTTTTACTCGTAGAAAAAACTATTTAAATTAAAAATATTATGATATTGAAGCTCATAAAAATTAACCGGTTAATCAATTTAAACGGTTAAAATTTATTAAAACTTTTTTTTTTTTATTTAATATTGCCTATACAAAACTCCTTTAAAACAGACCGCGTGCAATCCACAACACTACATTTTTATTTTATTTTAGAAAATCGTTACTAATATTTTATTTTTTAAAGTAGTTGAAATTCAAATGAATTACACACGGTATGTTCACCAATCTCTTCCAATAGCTTAGGAAATATAATTATTTGATGTAGAGAAAATCTTAGTACAACATTAGAAAGGCAATTAACAAGTTGTTAAACTAAGTTCTACCAGCAACGTGGGGCAGTATCCGGATGGTTTCATCTAGATAAATGAAAATACTTTTATTATTTATCTTTAATAAAGCACATGATGTCAGCGTTGGGTCTTAAAGCACTGCACGGCGAACGTTTGAACAAAAAAAAAAAAAAACACTGGGACATACACATTCGGCCCCAAAAATATTCCCAGACCTAGTAACTATAGATCCTTGTTAAGTGTATGAATAAAATTCAGAGACGACTCGTCTGGTAAAAAACGCACGCAAGGATAATTTACTCTATGGGCTAGTGTATAAAATATAATGTAAATATATATATATATATTTTACAATATAGATTTACTTGAGCGATACCGCGGCACCCGCTGAATACTGTACATTGTCCTCTCACGGTTACTGTATTATACTGTGTGTATTATTATTATTATTGTTACATTCAAATGCCAATATATTTTTCTTTTTCTATCTGGGAAACGGTTTTGGCTATTCGGATCACGTGCTCGGCCGTCAAAGGGCGGCGTGTAGCACCGGCGGCGGTACAATCATCACCTCGGCCTTTCTGTATACATATACTAATAGTAATAATAATAATAATAATAAAAAAAAAAGAAAGGTCTTGGGGTGATTTTTCGGCGACGACCTAAGTCACTGCCGCCGCCATCGGAAAGTCTTTTTCCACACATACAGGGTAATCCGAATTTCACGGTATATGTATTTGTACATTTTATCCATGAACGGTGTGTTTGCATCAAAACCTACCCACGGGTGGCTTTATCAGCTGCTGTTGATAGATTGTGGTCTGGTGGGTTCCTATATTAGGATCAAGCTAGAAGGAGATGTTTGAAATTCGATAAGACCGGGTTTCATCAACGTTTCAAACTTTTTGATTGATGTAACAATATTCATTACAAGAGCACAAAAGTATTGATAAATTATGATTTAAAATTAATTCCAGACTTATCTGATAAAAATATCTGAATTTTAACAAATAAATTACCTAGATGTCGATTGTTAAGAGATTAACTTTTTTTATTTAAATATTACATTTTATAAAAGGATACTAATTGTTATCAAGAAATTATGAAAAGACATTAATTGCTAAAAAGATAATACGAATATATATTAATTGTTGTCTAGATAATACAAATATATATTAATTGTTATCTAGATAATACAAATATATATTAATTGTTATCTGGATAATACAAAGTTACATTAATTGTTCTTTAGCAATTAAAGAGATAAACATTTTTACCAAGATAATCATTTAAATAATTTATCCAGATGATGCAAAACACCAATGTTTTGATCGAATACCTTTCAACAATATTGCCGTTTTCAGATGTATGCTAGGTGTGAGGTATTGAAGTTAGTGTGCTGTTACTTACACCAAACTGTGAGACTTTGGCCGGCCTAATTTCAGTTTTAAGATTTTTTTGACTTCTTCACTGGGTTAAGTAGAAAATGTATCAATTTTGAAGGTAATCAAATTGAATTTGAAATTTATTCTATTTATAAAAACGCGATTTTCTTACATCAAATTTTTGAATGGAAGACGTTAAAAAACCGACCGCTTTCAATCCCATTAAAAAAAAACAGTTTTTACCTAAACATTAAAAATTATTTTCGTTGATAATTTTATACTTTAATGACGATTTCATTTGAACCTTTTTATTAATTTTTGGCCAACACGGGTAAAATAACGTTAAACTTGGATAACCCTGTATGTTAAGAAACATAAATATGTAATATAAAGCAAAGAAGAAAATGCCACTGCGGCGGAGAGCCTTTTGTGTTTGGACAAAGGATACAATTTGAGGCGTTAAAAGTATTATTTTTCTCGGCCAGACGACGTGACACCCCGGTCCGTTTATTATTTTCTTTTTATCAGATGTACTCATACCTATGTATTTCTTTTTTATCTATTTTTTCTTCTTGTCATTTTCACACAATACACACACACGAGCGGTAAAACGACTTTCCGCCGGTGATAATTCATAAAAAAAAACTCCTATAGAGGTTTGTGATGGAGTTTATTGGTTTTCTAAGTCTAATGTGGTTTTTTTTTTTATTTATTTCATCTTGAATATATATATATATATATATATATCCAAGGATATACAATATACAGACACAGTTTTATCTTTTTATAACAGTTTTTAACCCATCAAATTTTAGACGCAGTTAAAAGCAAGGAAGTAATGTTAGTCATTTTACCAATTCGGTTTTCGATGGTTTATTAACCGATAGTACCTATTTATATATATTTTTTTAAGAGCAAAGTGTTAAGCATGATTGCCCGTTAAATTGGGGGGGGGGGGAAATAATCATGCTGATTTGGTTTGGAGAAGAGCTGTAATATCTCAATATTGTGTTATGCCATAGGAAAGCAATTAAAGGACAGTAAAAAAAAAAAACCAAAACAGTACAAACGGTATTAATAATACATTTTATTAATAGTGTATTCGAATAATAGTAAAATTTAGAATACTCATACGCTATAATGTTATTATAATATGGTTAAATTAACCGTATCGGATGTAACAAATTCAAAATATGTACAAACCGTTGTAGCGATACTAAATTGTAAGCATTCGATTGAAGCACCTCTTGGGTACGAGCAACAGCTAAATTAAAGATACCCAGGTATGGTTTAAATATATCTTATATCACTAGCTACAATATAATATTATATTATCATTATCATTATTATTGCTAACGGGATACTAATAGTTAATATATAATATTGCACGGTTCGCGATCAAAGATACATGATAATATTATAATACAAAATATACACAACATATAGATAATTGGTAATGGGTTTTCACTACATGTCGACTGGTTTAGAATGAAACAAAAAGTTACACAATACATTACACAGAAAAATTAAAAATTAATATTCATCGAAAATATGAATTTGACTACATTAAAATGAAACAGATCATTTTTTTTACAAAATACCTTTGAAAGTTTATCAGATTTCAACTGAATGGGACGACAAGTGCCACACAGTCTTCTAAATACTTATCATTGTGCCATTATTAGCCATAGAAAACGGTGGTAATACTTACAATTGTGTTACATATAAGTTTAGTGGGACCTAATAGTAATGGGTATAAAAAAAAATTTAATTTGTATTAACGAAAAAATATATTTTCAAAAATAATTTCTATTATTTTAATTCGAAATAAAAATTAAGTACTTCCAACTAATAATTGTTATTAAGCTGAAAATACTAACAGAATTATTTTAAACATTTTTTTTAGTAGGGAATCCTTCTATAAATACCAGGGTAAACTAATGGTTGAAATCAGTAAATTTTTATTTGAATTAAAATAATAGAAATCATTATACAAATTTATTTTTTAATTTGTTTATGATTTTTCAAATTTTTGTGTCTTATAGAGAACTATGACAGGTGCTTTCGAAGGCTTTGTGACATGTGTTCCAATTAGTTCAATTCAGTTGAAATTTGGCATACTTAGGTTCTTAAAGATAATTAAAGCTTGGGCCCCTCCCAACAAAAAAAAAAAAATTAAAATAAGAACATTCCTACTACACATGTAGCCTTAAAAATTTTAAATGTATTGCACCTTAATTAAATTTATATCTACTTAAATCTTAACGAATCAATTATGAATTATTATCTATGTGATTGTTCAGAAAGTAATTTTAAATAAAACTAAAATATAATTTTTTTTTTTTTGTTATCTAGATAAGATGAAAATACAAGAACCGTTATCCAGATAAGATTAAAAGATAGTATCTCGATAAAAGATAGTATATTGCTGTCAGATTAGTTGTCTATAATTTAATGCACGGCAGTTTACAGTTGGTCTATTCGTCGACCAGGTGACGTTTCGGCGTTGCGCACATGTCGGTTGTTGCACATCATCAGCTGTTGGTGCAACTGTTGGAACCACCACGGCGTGCCCGGCTGGGCGGACGGCGGTGGCGGCAACGGCGGCGGCGGAAATGTGGACATCATGGACGTTGGGGACGGCGCGGACGGCGGCGGCGGCCACTGAGGCGGCCAGCTGCCGTCGGACTGCAGGTTCGCCGCGGCTGCGGTGGCCGGTTCCGATAGAACCGGCAGCGGCTTTCATATGACCTGCTGCTGCTGCTGCTGTTGCGGCGGCGGCGGCATCAGGTCCGGCTTGACGACCACGGCGATCGGCCGCTTGACAGCCGGGGACGTGGACGGCGGCGGTGACGGGGCCGACGACGACGACGACGATTCGCGCACGGACCGCGGCGGTTGTTGTTCGCCGTGGTGGCCGCATTCCGCACAGTCGGCGGGGCACGCGGACGCGGTGGTGGCCGCCGCGGCCGCCGTCATCATCGGCCACGCGTTGGCCAGCGACACGGCGTGCGAGTACAGCGAGCTGCCGTAGAGCGCGTGCAACGCAAGGTCGTGCACGGCCTTGCCGGCGACGGCCTCGTGGCCGACGGCCGCGCTCACCGACAAGTCTTTGGCCACGTGCTGGTAGAACGCCGGGTAGTGATGGGGCTGGTGATGGTGATACGGCGAGAAGTAGGCGCGCGGCGGAAACCGCACGGGCGCCGCGCCGACCGGCTGTTCCGCGGCGGACGCCGTCGAGCCGGCCGACTCCTGTGGTAGCAAGTCCCGCACCGAATACGGCACCGCGCCGGGCTTGACGCTCGCCGGTACGGCAACCGGTTCCTTCTTCTGTATCATAGTCTTGGGCTTGCGACGTGGCCGGTACTTGTAATCGGGATGTTCTTTCATGTGCAACGCTCTGTAGACAAAAATTACATCACAATATTATCAGTTCGGGTTGGAAATAGTATACTGTTATAAGAATATATTATTATATTAGTCAATATAGCCAATATATTATATTTATAAGAAAATTAACAAGGGCAGTGCTTCCGATGACTCGAATTACAGGTACACCAGGTCATAAGTTTCAGACGTTAAGCCCGAAAACTTGGATCAAAAAGTTCTTCTTAGCCGAACAGAAATTGTTATTGTGTAAAATAAATATTCCAAAAACCGTGTCTGTGACGTTGTACCGTCTTAAAGTAATTAAGCCGACTTAATGAAATTACAACAAAACGCTAAATTAATTGGAAAATATGAAAAACAATAACAACAACTTTTATAAACGATCAAGGCGAATAAACTAAGTTACTCGACGATGACCCTTCGGATCTAATAAACATATTGTCCTCGCTGATACAAGTTTAGTCGAATAATCGTATTATTCGACTTGAAGACTAAATAATCAAAGCTTTGGCGCAATAAGATTCTGTGAATGTTCCGTTGATATTAATGAAATTAACGAGAATCAGTGTCGCGCCCTAATGACTTTATAGAATAATTAATATCCTTCGTCAAAAATCCCGCCATGAAAATAATACGAATTTTGATAGTTTGTTCGACTTAAATTAATTATCAAATACACATTTCTTTGGTAGTATAATTAAATATTATAAAATTTGTCTTGAACCATAAGCTCTTTTCATGTAGTACACCCAATGGTTCTTCGAAAAACATTTTTATGAGTATTTTGATTTTGTTAATGTATATTGGAACAATTTCAGTTCTTATCTTAAAATTATTATTAGGTAGACATGTATCGCATACCAGCCGCTTAATTTATTAATATGTGAATTTATTTTAGCTGAGAAAACTTTGTTGTTTTTACAATGGTGTTTAATTCGCCATCTTTTATTAATTGTTTATTTTTAGATTAGAATGTTTTATATTTTTATTGCTATTAATGTTATAATTAATATTTAAAATAATATCAATTGATACATTTTAGCTTCGATGCAAAGCGAGAAGGTATTGGTTTTACTCTGATGTATGTTTTTTTTTTATCTGTATACACTGTAACTTCTTTAATACTGGACCAATTCCTTCGAATAGCAACTCTATAAATCGCAATTTTCATCTAGTTGGTACTTTGGGGGGGTAAAAGTTGAAAAAGTTTAACTCTTCACAGGCGTAAGTTGAAAAAACAAAAAAAAAACCGTACGAGTTTTTAAGTTAGAACTTTTACTGGCTATAGCTTCGAGAAAAACAGTCGGATCGAGTTGAAATTTATAAGAAATATTTATTTAGTATGCCCGCGCACGTCAGTTATATCAAATTTGAATTTAACCCAATGCCCACCCCCCTAGGGGGGGTACAGGTTTTTTTGTTTTTCGGGGTTTTTAGCCGTAATTTTAAGACCTTTGGGTTGAAAATTTGCCAGTAGTTGGAACTCATATGTATCCATAACATATTAAACGGAAAAATAATTCGGCACTACAGTTTTTTTTTAATAGCCGGAAAACTGTGTTTTCGCAGATTGCGTATATTTTAACAAAAAACACTTAAAATCTTAAAAAAATTGTTATCAAATCATTAAAACAATTTTATGTAGATCTATGCAGAATGATACTATTGAGTTTTGTGCTCAAGTAACACTTTTGACTTTAAGTTGACACAAAGTTCAATTTTTTTTTTTTTTTACTTAAGTTCTTTCTGGCTGATTAAAATTGAGAACTGATAACAAATTCGTAATCACCGACCCCAAAAACATATAATTTGACCCCTTTTAATGCCTTTTTCACAAAAATCCAGAAAAATGTTTTAGCTTCGATGCAAAGCGAGAAGGTATTGGTTTTACTCTGATGTATGTTTTTTTTTTATCTGTATACACTGTAACTTCTTTAATACTGGACCAATTCCTTCGAATAGCAACTCTATAAATCGCAATTTTCATCTAGTTGGTACTTTGGGGGGGTAAAAGTTGAAAAAGTTTAACTCTTCACAGGCGTAAGTTGAAAAAACAAAAAAAAAACCGTACGAGTTTTTAAGTTAGAACTTTTACTGGCTATAGCTTCGAGAAAAACAGTCGGATCGAGTTGAAATTTATAAGAAATATTTATTTAGTATGCCCGCGCACGTCAGTTATATCAAATTTGAATTTAACCCAATGCCCACCCCCCTAGGGGGGGTACAGGTTTTTTTGTTTTTCGGGGTTTTTAGCCGTAATTTTAAGACCTTTGGGTTGAAAATTTGCCAGTAGTTGGAACTCATATGTATCCATAACATATTAAACGGAAAAATAATTCGGCACTACAGTTTTTTTTTAATAGCCGGAAAACTGTGTTTTCGCAGATTGCGTATATTTTAACAAAAAACACTTAAAATCTTAAAAAAATTGTTATCAAATCATTAAAACAATTTTATGTAGATCTATGCAGAATGATACTATTGAGTTTTGTGCTCAAGTAACACTTTTGACTTTAAGTTGACACAAAGTTCAATTTTTTTTTTTTTTTACTTAAGTTCTTTCTGGCTGATTAAAATTGAGAACTGATAACAAATTCGTAATCACCGACCCCAAAAACATATAATTTGACCCCTTTTAATGCCTTTTTCACAAAAATCCAGAAAAATGTTTTAGCTTCGATGCAAAGCGAGAAGGTATTGGTTTTACTCTGATGTATGTTTTTTTTTTATCTGTATACACTGTAACTTCTTTAATACTGGACCAATTCCTTCGAATAGCAACTCTATAAATCGCAATTTTCATCTAGTTGGTACTTTGGGGGGGTAAAAGTTGAAAAAGTTTAACTCTTCACAGGCGTAAGTTGAAAAAACAAAAAAAAAACCGTACGAGTTTTTAAGTTAGAACTTTTACTGGCTATAGCTTCGAGAAAAACAGTCGGATCGAGTTGAAATTTATAAGAAATATTTATTTAGTATGCCCGCGCACGTCAGTTATATCAAATTTGAATTTAACCCAATGCCCACCCCCCTAGGGGGGGTACAGGTTTTTTTGTTTTTCGGGGTTTTTAGCCGTAATTTTAAGACCTTTGGGTTGAAAATTTGCCAGTAGTTGGAACTCATATGTATCCATAACATATTAAACGGAAAAATAATTCGGCACTACAGTTTTTTTTTAATAGCCGGAAAACTGTGTTTTCGCAGATTGCGTATATTTTAACAAAAAACACTTAAAATCTTAAAAAAATTGTTATCAAATCATTAAAACAATTTTATGTAGATCTATGCAGAATGATACTATTGAGTTTTGTGCTCAAGTAACACTTTTGACTTTAAGTTGACACAAAGTTCAATTTTTTTTTTTTTTTACTTAAGTTCTTTCTGGCTGATTAAAATTGAGAACTGATAACAAATTCGTAATCACCGACCCCAAAAACATATAATTTGACCCCTTTTAATGCCTTTTTCACAAAAATCCAGAAAAATGTTTTAGCTTCGATGCAAAGCGAGAAGGTATTGGTTTTACTCTGATGTATGTTTTTTTTTTATCTGTATACACTGTAACTTCTTTAATACTGGACCAATTCCTTCGAATAGCAACTCTATAAATCGCAATTTTCATCTAGTTGATACTTTGGGGGGGTAAAAGTTGAAAAAGTTTAACTCTTCACAGGCGTAAGTTGAAAAAACAAAAAAAAAAACGTACGAGTTTTTAAGTTAGAACTTTTACTGGCTATAGCTTCGAGAAAAACAGTCGGATCGAGTTGAAATTTATAAGAAATATTTATTTAGTATGCCCGCGCACGTCAGTTATATCAAATTTGAATTTAACCCAATGCCTACCCCCCTAGGGGGGGTACAGGTTTTTTTGTTTTTCGGGGTTTTTAGCCGTAATTTTAAGACCTTTGGGTTGAAAATTTGCCAGTAGTTGGAACTCATATGTATCCATAACATATTAAACGGAAAAATAATTCGGCACTACAGTTTTTTTTTAATAGCCGGAAAACTGTGTTTTCGCAGATTGCGTATATTTTAACAAAAAACACTTAAAATCTTAAAAAAATTGTTATCAAATCATTAAAACAATTTTATGTAGATCTATGCAGAATGATACTATTGAGTTTTGTGCTCAAGTAACACTTTTGACTTTAAGTTGACACAAAGTTCAATTTTTTTTTTTTTTACTTAAGTTCTTTCTGGCTGATTAAAATTGAGAACTGATAACAAATTCGTAATCACCGACCCTAAAAACATATAATTTGACCCCTTTTAATGCCTTTTTCACAAAAATCCAGAAAAATGTTTTAGCTTCGATGCAAAGCGAGAAGGTATTGGTTTTACTCTGATGTATGTTTTTTTTTTATCTGTATACACTGTAACTTCTTTAATACTGGACCAATTCCTTCGAATAGCAACTCTATAAATCGCAATTTTCATCTAGTTGATACTTTGGGGGGGTAAAAGTTGAAAAAGTTTAACTCTTCACAGGCGTAAGTTGAAAAAACAAAAAAAAAAACGTACGAGTTTTTAAGTTAGAACTTTTACTGGCTATAGCTTCGAGAAAAACAGTCGGATCGAGTTGAAATTTATAAGAAATATTTATTTAGTATGCCCGCGCACGTCAGTTATATCAAATTTGAATTTAACCCAATGCCCACCCCCTAGGGGGGGTACAGGTTTTTTTGTTTTTCGGGGTTTTTAGCCGTAATTTTAAGACCTTTGGGTTGAAAATTTGCCAGTAGTTGGAACTCATATGTATCCATAACATATTAAACGGAAAAATAATTCGGCACTACAGTTTTTTTTTAATAGCCGGAAAACTGTGTTTTCGCAGATTGCGTATATTTTAACAAAAAACACTTAAAATCTTAAAAAAATTGTTATCAAATCATTAAAACAATTTTATGTAGATCTATGCAGAATGATACTATTGAGTTTTGTGCTCAAGTAACACTTTTGACTTTAAGTTGACACAAAGTTCAATTTTTTTTTTTTTTTACTTAAGTTCTTTCT